AAAGTAGAGAAATAGATGAAGCCAGAAACAGGAAAGGGGGTCCGCAGTAATGAGAGATGATTTCTAAACAAGAAGGAAGGACTTCACCATATGATCTTACTGAAAGAAGTAGATGATCAACAAGAAATAATACAGAAATACATGGAATTACAGAAGAGACAGCAAGGACACACCAGATACCTTCAAACTGTGAGTAAAAGTGAAATCTGTCAGCACCAATCAATTTCACTCTTTTATTCCCAGAAGGTACTACCCCAAAGAGGCAATTAAAAAAAGACACCACATCGATCGGTGTACTACTTCCATATGGTCTAAACAGCCTTGTTGGAAGAGTATTATCAGAGGGCTAAACCAACACAGTCATATTGTGTGTAACTATAGATATGTGTAATTCTCAAGTTTATTCTTAGAATTTTTGTGGGGAATGGCGGGGAACGCACCGAAAAAATGGCACTGTCAGAGTAAAAACTTTACGTATCCTTAGCCCGGTTTGGTGACGTCAGCAGCATGGCCCGTCAGATGGAGACAGTCTTGGCTTAACAGTCTCTCTTTATATATTAAACATGAACACATACAAATATGTTGACATAGATCAATACAATCCAAGCACATAGGGTGCACTTCTTAGTACCTAACAAGTTGAAAAAAAAAAAAAACTGGTGTACATCTTCATGACAAAAAGAAAGTTGGGAGAAAAAAAGAGAAAGACAGAGGACAAGAACGTTCTCATAGTTTGGCATCATGGCATGGATATCAGATATGAGTGACAATACAAGAGATAGAAGGCTGTGGACAGATGTGATTACTAACACCATACAGCGTGGACTGTAAGATGTAAAGGACCCTGTCCCCGTGCTTCAAGGCTTTTCTTGGCTTGTTTTGTAACCATAATAAAGAATAAGCAGCGTTCAGTAAGTAGTCAACAGTATGCCAGCTGCCTTTATTTTCCTGGTATTCATTTTGTAGAAAGTGCCAACCGCGGGTAAAGTCACTGCAAATATCTGTGCCTAGATGGAGATCTGAACAAATTACCATACAGGAGTGCTAACCACTGTCCTGTCTTATTCTTACACTAAACAGTTTAGTAAACCAATATTTTTGGTTCAGAATTAAACCAAAAAAAAACCATAAACTACAAGCTCATCTCCACAGAGTGAAAGCTGCCCAAGCTGACAGGTGTACTTGCCAAAATGGTGCAGGTCAGAAACCCTGCTGCAAACACACCCACTTTGCAGCAAGTCGTTGAGCTGAAACCCTAAGATAGGAAAGTGAAGGAGACAGAGTGGGGCATTTATGGTCACAAGTTTCAAGAGTGGGTTCACAAGAACAACGCTCTAAGGCTGCTGTGCATAAGGCATTTTTTTTTTTTTTTGCAGGGGGAAAAAAGAAGGATAAGTATACAAATCAATAAAATGAAACATAAACTTTTAACAACTTCCTCTTGGACACAATTACAGAAAATATTAGATGTGATCAAGATAAATGTGGGAGTTTTCAAAATTGCAATCACCAAACTAAAACAATTTCACAAAGGACAACCAGTCATCAACTGTTAAATACATTCTTTACTATATGGCACACAACCATTAAACAAGCAGCTAAAGACAACTAACAGTTTTTCAACTTTATAGGATAATAAAGGAGTCTAGAAACAAAGAAGAATTTACAAAGAAATTCTGGTAAGCCTGAGAATGAATAAAAAAGTTCAAAGAAAAGATCAATCATTATAATTATAATGTAGCAGAACTTCGCTCTTCTTATGATTTGCAGGAAAGACTCTAGATCTGTCAACAATGCAAGAGTAGCCACTGTGTTCTGTCTCCATGTCATGTTAGTCAACCCCTGACAGAAACCATGCCTTACACTAATGTTTGTCCAAAGCCAGTGTGAAGTTTAACATGGCCGAAGTCATTCTGCAACAAGCTGCTATTTGTGAGCAATAGAGTAGACCTAACTCAGTGACACTGTAAAAACAGCTGTCTCAAGTTGCTTGCACAAACTGAAAATGTTACTATTCTTTGTGCTTGTGTAAAACTGATGAAGGAGACAGGTATTTTCTAAAATGTTAATTCTCTCTCTCTTTCTCTCACTTTCTGTGTGTGTGTGCATGTGTGTGTGTGAGAAAAAAAAAGAGAGAGAGAGAGAGTCACCTACTGAAACCTCTCATATGTCCCCAACAATAGTAACCAGTATCCTTCAGCGAAACTTTGTGCCACTTCAGGGATATGCTTGGGAGTTATCCAGCTACTGAAACCTCGGGATTTCTCAAACTGACTGTGCCTTTTGGACACGAACTAAATAGCAGAAATAAATGAAATGGACTGGAACATAAATTTATTTCAGAAGCTTGAAGAATTTAAAAAATATGAAATACTGAAGAAAATGTGCTTTTACCAGAGAATCTAGTTAAAAGAAATATTCAAGGGACTAGACATATACACTGTACAAGCACATTCACTTTATTGTCCAATTTGTAGTTTATGTAACATCTGACTAGAGACTTTGCTAACATGACATACAAGATCATACACTTAATTGGCTTGCTAAACTACAAATTGTTGACATAAGTGCATACACCAAAATAAGCCTTGTCAGAAAAAAGCAAAACATTTTCACAATGATTTTTCAAAAAACATTTTGTCTTCTAATATAACATATCTGATGTATTTTATCACAGCATCTGGTCTTCTAATTTACCATAGCATCTGGTCTTCCAATTAACCCTAGTGTCTGGTCTTCTAATTACAACAGCATCTGGTCTTCTAACTTACCATGGCATCTAGTCTGGTCTGATCACAGCAGCTGGTTTTCTAATATAGTATGGATCTAGTCTGGTCTTATCCCAGTAGCTGGTCTTCTAATATATTATGGCATCTAGTCTTATAATTTACCAGAGTATCTGGTCTTGTAATTTACCATAGCATCTAGTCTAGTCTTATCACAGCATCTGGTCTTCTAATATATTATGGCATGTAGTCTAGTCTTATCACAGCAGCTGGTCTTCTAATGTATCATAGTATCTGGTCTTCTAATTATGACAGCATCTGGTCTTCTAATTTACCATAGTATCTGGTCTTATAGTTTACCATAGTAGCTGGTCTTATAATTTACCATAGTATCTGGTCTTTTAGTTTACCATAGTAGCTGGTCTTATAATTTACCATAGTATCTGGTCTTGTAATTTACCATAGCATCTAGTCTAGTCTTATCACAGCATCTGGTCTTCTAATATATAATATGGCATCTAGTCTAGTCTTATCACAGCAGCTAGTCTTCTCATTTATCATAGTATCTGGTCTACTAATTAAGACAGCATCTGGTCTTCTAATTTACTATGGCATCTAGTCTGGTGTTAACACAGCAGCTGGTCTTCTAATATAGTATGGCATCTAGTCTAGTTTTATCACAGCAGCTGGTCTAATATAGTATGGCATCTAGTCTGGTCTTATCACAGCAGCTGGTCTTTTAATTTATCATAGCATATGGTCTTCTAATTTACCCTAGTATCTGGTCTTCTAATTTACCATAGCATCTAGTCTAGTTTTATCACAGCATATGGTCTTCTAATTTACCAGTCTTTTGTCTTTTAATTTAACATAGTATTTGGTCTTTTAATTTACCATGGCATCTGGTCTAGTCTTATTACAGTAGCTGAACTTCTAATATTTCATAGCATCTGCTCTTCTAATTTACCACAGTATGTGGTCTTCTGTTGGCTCTGTGACTAAGTTGATGCGAACGCTTCGTAATGCCGGGGTACCGGGTTCGATCCCAGCTGCAGGCCATACGCCTTGTGTTGGTTTCAACAGCGGAATCAGGGGGTCGACCGTCCAGAAAGCAATGGCAAACTACTGGATGTGAATTTGCCTAGAGAAACCACACAACAGCCAGGGGCTGCTCGGGTTGGTTCTGCAACGTCCTGTAAAGGATATGTAACTAACATATATATTTTTGTGGTCTTCTAATTTACCAAAGTATCTGGTCTTCTAATTTACCATAGTATCTGGTCTTCTAATATACCATGACATCTGGTGTGATCTTATCACAGCAGCTGATCTTACAATTTATCACAGTATCAAGTTTTCTCATTTATTAGCGTCAGGCTTTCTAATTTATCTAAGCATTGTCTTCTCATTTATTAGTGCTAGTCTTCTCATTTTCACAGTATCTTTCTTCAGATTAATTTTTAAAAAGTATATAGTTTTTCTTTTAAATTGTGAAGTCTCTAACTAAGCAAACACACAGTCTTCACTTCACTTATGCTGGAATCTTTTGTCACCTAATTCACAACAAATCAAATTTCTAGTCTGGTCAAAACATTCTCATATTATTTATGAAAACATCAAAGGTTCAATTATGTCGGAACATCTCACCACTCAAAATAGGGCGACCATCGGGCAGTTTTCACTGGGACAGTCCCGTTTCTTAAGTGTGACTCAGCTGTTCTGTCAGTGTACCAAAATATGGCCAACAAAAAGCAATAAACGTAAAATTTGGCTAGAAAAAAACCACAACAGCCAAAAACATTGCTGGGGTTGGTTCTGTAAAGGGTATGCAACTCAGACTGTGTTTGATTTTGTTGTTAATCTGTTAAAGCATTAGAAGAAGGAAAAAAATCACTTCTAGTCCTAACAACAGCAACAAACATTCATCTGATCTGTTCACTCCACAAGACAATTTTAAAACACTGGAAATTATTGACAGAGTCAACCATTTTGCTTTAGATTAATCATCAAAAGAGATTCAGGTGTCTGAGAATATAAACAGAGATGGCAGGGCAACATAGTTATAGCTTTCACTGTTAGAAGCTCTTGTACAGAATATCAAATGGTCAAGAGGAAACACAATTCACAATGTTAAATAAAAATTATTATTTGTTAATCCAGTCAAAATAATGAGCCGGTTAGCAGCATCAATCAGCTTCTGACAAGGGTCTGGGGATCACTCAGCTTCTGACAAGGGTCTGGGGATCACTCAGCTTCTGACAAGGGTCTACAGCATCACCAAATGAATCCTACCAGAAAGCCTGCAGCAAATCCACTAGCCAGGAAGAAGTTCTCTTCATAGAAGTTCATGCCCTGAAATTAGAAAATTTGTGTACCATTGACACACTTCTCATTTCACTTGCATTTGTTTGACTTTTTAAGTACTAACCAGTATATCCTGCTCTAACCTATCCATATGGTACTGCCTTGAACAGCCTGTCAAGTAAATCCTTGTGAATTTAAACACCTTCTATGTTAAAAACGGTTCCTAAAATGTCTCTAAAACAAAAACTAATGAACACATTTTACTTATACATTATTAACTGGATCTTGGTTACCTATATATAAAAAAATAGACAACACCCATTTTTGAGGCATGTCATAAGAGAAACAAACTGGACTGTGACATATTATATAACATTGTGTATAATTAAATAATTATGCAACTCCACAATCATTTGTTGTGTTGATAACACAGCTGGCTAGGAATTAAATCAGGCTGATTTGACCTAACTGGTCCATTATTGAAAGTATATCTGGCCCATTACCAAAGTGATATCAGATGAAAGTGTTTTTGTATGTGTGTGTGTGTGTGTGTGTGATGTTAACTAAGTAAATGGCTCAAATCCAAGGCATATTTGGCATATGACAACAGCCCCATAATTGTATAAACCAATCAACATCCAAAGTGTGATGTGATTAATAATTTGCTGACCACTTTTACATCCCAGGCAACCTCCCAACAATTATTTTAGGCTGAGTCAACATGAGAGCCTGGGTAAAATTTTCAACATTCACCTCAATGGGGATATGACTTATGATATCTGGTCAGCAGACTAGCCACTGTGCTTGTGTTGCAGGGTGCAAATAACAAGACCTTTTGGATACACACAGTGCCACCCAAAAAAAAAAATGAGATAAAGGATGATTCGGCCTCGATAATTTGGGATCTTTATTTGGAGGATCACCCAAAACTGACATCAAAAGTATCCACCAGGTTTATGCTCAACCCCCCCCCCCCCCCCCATAACACAACTTCCTGTGTACTTGATAGCTACTAGGAAAAGAGTTATGGATACTAAACATTTAAACAAGAAATAAAATTAGAAAGGGGTAGGGGGGACAGGAAATGAGAGAGTTGAAGGAAATATAGAGAGAAAAAGAAGAAGATAAAGATCAGAGAAGAGGGCGAGAGACAATGCAGGAGACGGTGAGGAACCCGGGGGGGAGGGGGGGGGGGGGGGGGGGATTAGAGAACAGAAGAGGGAAACTATGGGGAAATAACAATGTTGATCGCCAAACACACTGTCGGGCCAAAAATAGAACTGGAAAATCCAGCTGACGTCCCTTTGCTTAGCCCCACCATCTCCCAATGTAATCATCGTTTCTAGAAACCACGGCCATAAAGCTTTTTATACTATTAATACTGCCAGACCCGCTAGAAACAAAGGCACACGCACACCAGATAGCGGCTGCTCCTTCCCGCCCCATGCCACGCTGCTGCCGTCTACCTGTATCCATGGGCTGCAACACAACCAGTCCTTCCCTGGCTTTTAACAAGCAATTTCAGCTGAAAATAGCCGATAATCAATGGCCCTCATACCTGAAATGACCGTAAACAAAAGTAGCAAAAACTAGCCAAATAGCACACGCACACACAAAAAAGCCTAACTGCCGAAAATGACAGGACTTTCGACGATCTCATTGCGGCGGTCTAAATTCACGGCTTCTTAAGGTCAGAATGTCTTTTTAAAGGTCAAAATTAAGGTTCCTGATCGGGGCCTCAATTTCATGGTTAATTCAAGTTTTCCAGGTCGGCTACGAACCCTGGGATGTGTACGTGCAGAATCAAAAAGAAAAAAACATTCAATATAATTTAAAAATAATAACAACATTCATCAAACAGAACAAATAAGGACACGATTAATGTTTTTTTTTTTAAATAATATAAAAAAATACATATGTAGCAGAAACATAAAACCCACCTTCTGAATGATACTGGTCTGATGTTTAAGCATTGTATGCTTAGCTTTAGCCTGAGCTTTAGTCATAGCATGCCTGACTTTGGTCCAGTCAATGGTGATATAGCCATTGTGTTGGGCAATCTGAGATCAAACAACAAAAGTTTGTTGCAGTCAGCAGTATGTATACACATTCATCAAATAATGTCAATGTGCACATACTGAAGAGAACATATATATGGTCATGGCCACAGACGTATGGAGACAGTGCTACAACCAAAGTTTTAAAACAATACATTCAGAGTGAAAAAGGTTGAGGATTTTTCACACAATACTATATGGTTTGAAAATAATTCACATAACACTGACTGACTTGATAACAACTAGCAGCGTTCATTTAAAACATGTTCATGCCACACTGGTAATTGCATGCGCTGAACACGATCATGTACTAGGCATGTCATAAGTAATGACCAATGAATAAAAGAGCACAAGCTTATTGTCCCATAATGCATAGGTTCTGTTTCTGACTGTTGAGAAAAATGACCGGGTTGATCCCAAATTTGTCCAGAGAAGCTCAAGGAGAGGTGATTCAGTTTCTTTCATTTGAAGAATGCTTACCATGGGACATTCATCAAAGAATGCAGACAGCGTATGATAGAAAATGTGTGTTGAAGACAACAGTGACAGATTGGGAATAAATCTCCCAAGGCTGGGTTAGGTGAATACTGTTGTAACAACAACACAAACCATTGCCAAAACCATCATTGCAATGCAAGTGAACTACTGTCGCAGCATACATTTGCTAGCGAAAGAATCCAATGTGGGACAGTTCAAAAAGTTGTCATAAGAAACTGCAATATCGGAAAGTGTGTTTACCACGTATGGGTACCACGTAATGAACATGGTAACCTTTTGTATAATCCTTTTTTGTGAATGGCATATGCCACCTACCTAAGCAATGAGATGCTTGCCTTAACACCTACGGTTACTTTTCTTGACCATGCCATGATGCATCATCTTCTTCTTTTGTCAAAATCTGCTTGTGCGGCTAGGCATCGCAGTCTATCAGATGATCGGCAACCGAGTCAGGGCACGCTCAGTCGCTTCATATGCCGTGATGTTATCAAGTCTCAAGTTGTCCGTGACTTCTTCAATCCATCTTCTTCTTGGTCTTCCCCTGCCTCTTGGTGTTTCGATTTTCATGTTGTATGCTCTTGATGCTGGCATCGTTGGTTCCATTCTCATTAGGTGACCAAACCATTTCATTCTTTGCTTCTCAATAAATTTAACGATGGGTATGGTTCCAATAGTTCTTGTAATCACATCGTTTCTCACTCGATCTCTTCTGGTTTTATTTGCAGCCATTCTCAAACATCTCATTTCACAGGTGGTTAGTCTTCTCTCGTGTTCTTTTGTTAATGTCCAAGTCTGACATTGATAACCTAATGTCGGTATAAAGATTGTATTTATAATTTGTCTTTTTATCTAAGCTGGGACAGCAGGGTGTTTTAAAATTGGGGCAAGCTGGTATGCGACATTGTTGGCTTGTTGGATTCTTGCTTCGATCTTTCTGTCTATTTTACCATTAAATGTAAAGATACTTCCCAAGTATTTAAATTCTTGCACTTGTTTTAGGCTGTGATCTAGAATCTTTATGTCGATGGTCTGTTGCTCTCTACTAATGCTCATGACTTCTGTCTTTTCAGTATTGATGATCTTCATATGATGCTTGAGGCAACTGTCGTGTAGTAGGTTTATGTGGTCTTGCAGCTGTTTACTATCACTGTGAAATATGCATTGATCATCGGCAAAGAGCAGCTCATTGAAGTCCTCCTGTTTATCGACATCTGTTGGTGTTATGTCTATTTTATTAATATTGTCCATAAATATTATGAAAAGTAAACGTGATAATACACAACATTGTCTTACTCCTGATGTTACTGGGAACCAGTCTGTGATGCCAGCTCTTGTTCTAATGGCGCTTTCACTTTGTCTATAAATAGCCCTAACACAATCTAAAATTGTTCCATTTATACCGTAGTTTTCAAGAACTTTCCATAATAAATTTCTGTTTACTCTATCGAAAGCTTTTTCTTGATCTATGAAAGCGATGTTCATTTGATGTCTGTGTTCTATTGTCTTTTCGCTAACTTGTCTTAAAGGAAAAATAGCGTCAGTACACCCTCTTCCTTTCCTAAATCCGACCTGTGATGGGCTCAGGATCGGTTCTACAACGGATCTAATTCGTTGTTCCAGAATTTTGGCAAACATTTTTCCTACGTGGCTTAGAATGGAGATGCCTCTGTAATTGTTACAAATTTGCTTATTGCCTTTTCTTTTCCAATTTGGGACTATAAGGGCTCTTTGCCAGTCTACTGGTACAGTTCTTTCATTCCAGGCTTTCCTAAATATGTGGAGTAGCCAGGTGACTCCATTTCTCCACAAGCCTGTATTGCCTCGGCTGATATTCCATCAACACCTGATGCCTTACTTTTGGGACTGCATCTGATTGCTTCTCTGACTTCTTGTTCGATTATTGTTTGCTGTTCCTCGTTTGTACATCTGGGTGTGAATGGTACTGTTTCCTCATTTCCTGTTACATTCAGAAGAGTCTGAAAATATTCCTTCCACCTTTCTCTGATCTTGCCCTCCTCATGTATGGGTTTGCCTTGACTATCATTGACATATTCAGATGGCTGGAATGGTTCATCTCTAGTTCTCATTTTTGCAATGGTTTTGTAAAACCGTCTACTAGATTAAGCACAGATTTTGGTAAGATTTTCCCCATACATGATCCAGGATGATTCCTTGGATTGTTTAATTTCTCTTGCAGATTGTCGCCTGGCAATTCTGTACTTGATATAATCGTCATCTGAGTGGGATCTTAGCCATTTCTTGTATTGCTCCTTTTTACATTTCACTGCTTGTTTTACGTTATCATTCCACCATGCCGTTTTTTTCCTGAACGTTCCTCCTGTGTATCTAATACCACAGAGTGTTGTTAGGCAGTTCAGAAGAGTGTTCTTAAATTTTTGCCACGCAGCTTCCACATTGTCACTTGATGTTATTAGCTCAGTCATCTTCGCCGTCATTTCTGCCTGTACTTTTGCTTGGTTGTCTAGATTGCTTAGGTGTCTTATGTCAATCATTGAGGTACGTACTGATGTTTTTGGTTTTTTGTTAATTGTTGCTTCGCTTAGATATATGATCAGCGGTCGATGGTCTGTATTTAAAGAGATGTTAGGAATTACTCTTGCGTCTTTTACTAAGCTTCTTCTCTTTTGTCGATTTAGTATGTAGTCCAACTGTGCGGCCTGGTCTGGGTTGCTCCATTTATACCAGGTGTTTATTTGGCTTTGTCGATGCTGATAGAAACTATTGGTGACATAAAGGCCATGCTCTGCACAAAGTTCTAAAATACGCTGCCCGTTGTAATTGCAGACTTTGCTGTTGTCTGAGTGTGGCCCGATATATTCCTCCCACGGTGTTCGCCTCTGCCCTATATGCCCATTTAGGTCACCTATTACCATAAGATCATCATTTGCGTGTATCTGACTGATGACATCTGAGTCAAAGAAGCTATCTTTCTCTTCAAAGGTGTAACCATCATTGGTGGGTGCGTATACCTGCACAATGCTTGTATTTCTTGTTTTCCCGTAGAGTTGCAATACTATAATCCTTTCAGATACATATTCTTTATTCTTTACATGTTTAGCGATATCCGGATGGAGAATAAAACTGACTCCGTGAGTCGCTCTCTGCTCTTTCTTAACGCCGCTCCAAAATATGACATAATTGTTATGAATTTCTTTTGTTATGTTGCCTTTTTTCCTGCAATCTGATATTCCCATTATATCGATCTTATGTTTCATCATGAACTCTACTATTTCTGGTTCTTTATTTGTGAGACCACAAACATTCCATGTTCCTATTTTTGTCGCTTGGCTAGTTTGTTTACAATGAGTGAGAGATGGCTGACCTGTTCTCCAGCCCTGATTGTTGTTACGTTTGATGGATTTTCTAATCTCATATATTGTTTCTAGAGCAGATTTTTGTGAAGTCTTAAATCCACTGCCGATTTGCTGGACCTGACACAGATACATCCTTAAGAGAACACTGGAAAACACGTAAATCACATCGAGAACACTGAAAAATTACACATCCGTTGAATAACATACACTGTTTACGTCGCCATCTTTCGACTACATGATGCATAATTCATTTAAAAATGAATGCTTTGTTTAATTCTGCAACACCTTTTGGTTTTTCTTTCATGCTTTTGTAATAAAGCTCAAATCAAAGAGTTTCAAATGAAAAATCCTCATGTATGACTAGTAGGTGATAATACTATACTGCCTAAGATAAACCACACAGCACTGTGTGACTTGAGAGATAATATATACAATACTATATGGCTTGAGGATAATACACACAGCACTGTGTCACTAAAAAGATAATAAACGCAATATGATAGTGCTTGAGGACACAAACAACACTGTGTGACTTAACAATAATATATGCAATACTATATAGCTTGATGATAAAACATATAGAACTGTGTGAGTTAAAAGATAATATATGCAAGACTCTAAGGCTTGAGGATAATACACACAGCACTGTGTCACTAAAAAGATAATAAATGCAATACGATAGTGCTCGAGGACACAAACAACACTGTGTGACTTAACAATAATATATGCAATACTATATAGCTTGATGATAAAACATATAGAACTGTGTGAGTTAAAAGATAATATATGCAAGACTCTAAGGCTTGAGGATAATACACACAGCACTGTGCAACCTAACGATAATATATGCAAGACTATATGGCCTGAGGATGATACACACAGACTTGAAAGATGATATATACAACACTATATGTCAACAACAGGAGAACAGAAAACTCGTGATTTAAACAAAAACTCTTTGTCTATCAGGTTTGTGTTCTCAGCACTCTGCTTTATGGCAGTGGAACTTGGTCAACTTATTTGCACCAGGAGAGACCACTAAAAAGCTTTCAAATGCGATGCCTAAGAAGAAGACTTGGCATTAAGATACAAGACAAGATCAAAAACACTGAGGTATTGGAAAGAGCAGGTATTACAACAGTTTTCTCAATGCTCAGTCTTTGACAGCTCAGTTGGCTGGGTCACACATGGTGAATTAAGGATGGAAGATTCCCTAGGGACATCCTCTATGGTGAATTAAAGATGGGTAGAAGATGTTGAGGCTGACATCTACTACAATATAAAGATGTGTGCAAGCAGGACAAGAATGATACAGGTGCTGATGTGGACTCATAGGAATAAAACGCCATAGACCCTGTTGTGTGGAAGGAACACATCAGGAAGGGGAATAAGAATGAAGGAAGAAATGATTACAGGAAGAACGACAGCTGTGCGTCTGAGAGGAAACACACTAAACCTAATTGATGACAACAACGGTCTTGAAATTCCATGTTATAACTGTGGGAGACTTTTCATAACGTCGGTGGGTCTTGCTAGTGACCCTCGCCATTACCACGGACTGTGAGTCCAAGGCCTCCTCACATAATATAACATTATAGTCTGGAAATATGGAAAGGTGCCAACAAATAGATCTAGTAATTGGAGGCACCATCTTTGCTCATAAGGAGATTTATAAACTGACATGGCACTCAACAGAGGAGTGACTAAGAATAAAATAGACCACCTCTGTCTAAGCAACAAATATAGAAGCTCTCTTATGGATGTCTGATGATACAGAAGAGCAGATGTGGGCAGTGATCACAACTTATGTGTAGAAACACTAAAGCTTAATTTAAAAGCAACTGCCCCCCCCCCCCCCCCCCCCCCCCCCCCCCCCCCCCCCCCCCCCCCCCAATGTACAGCAAAGAAAAGATAGCCAAAGACTTTGCAGCGTAAAAGTAAAATAAGAATTCCAGCATAAGCTGAAAAACAGATATGAAGCACCTGAAGCAGAGGGAGATCAAAGTACTGAGGAAAAATTTTCAGTACAATTAAAGGGGTAGTGGGCAAAGTCTTGAGAGAGAACAACCAGGTTTTTTCCCTGGAAGAAGCTGCTTAGATCAAATATTCACCCTGAGACTTATTTTGCTGAAAAACAACCTCTTATTTTGAATTTTATTGATTTGAAGCAGGCTTTGGATACAGAAAATCATTATGAGGAATTCTGGAATATTATGGAATGCCAACTAAAATAATAAATATTATTAAGGCAATGTATAAAGGTTCTGAGTCTGCAAACACATGATGGTTTAAGTGATTGATTCAGTTTAAACTGCATTGACTGGATGGAAAACAGAGTGAAGATCTTGATTTTGCTGACAATGAGGATGTTCTACTAAGTAAAAGATGTTTAGATTACAGCAAGAGTTCAGCACTGAAAAATGTGGCATATAGTGAGATGCATGGGATCCCCAACACATTGGGTACATCTGTTGGAATCTCTTTACGGTGAATAACAAGCAGGATTCAGAGTAGCCACATCAGACTGGTTTGAGGTGTAGACAAGAGTAAAGATGGCTGCATTCTTTCTCCATCACTTTTTAATATATATATTAAATATATACATGTGTTGAAAATATGAGAAACATAATTAGTGAAGAGGCCTGTGACAGCTTCGAGCCATTCAAAATTTGAGGTAGACCATGCTGATGACACAGTTCTCCTTTCCAAGAGTCCAAAAGTCTCAGAAAAATTAATTCTGACAAAAAAGTACAGTGAAGAAAAGAATCTATTTCTGAACCTGAAAACAACTACACTAATGCCCACAATGAATATAGCACATCAATCATGTTTTACCATTGACAAAGAGGCAGAAAATGTCCAATTTTTTTAAAATGTAAGCTTAGTTATGAATATCAATGGTGACTGCATAAAAGAAGTCAGAAAAAGATGCACTATAGCAATGTAGCTTGAAGAACCTATGGCTAGTATCTGCACTTAAGTTTAAGGAACAATTTTGAGATCATGAATCTTTCCCCCGGCAACTTAAGGATGTGAGCCATGAACTCTCACTCATTCTTTAAAGAAGAAAAACCTGAGCTCAAAAGAACTGAAATGCTACAGAAAAATTCTTAGAATACCATGGACCAAGAAGAAGAAAAACACTGACATCCTAAATGGCTTGAACATTAAAAAAAAATACTTGCTCATAAACACTATCCTCTCCAGAAAGCGGAGGGATTTTTGACATGTCAAGCAACATGATGGTCTGTAGAGAACAATGATGGAGAGTGCAGTTTCTGGAATGTGAGGCAGAGGCTGACCTCCACGAACGTGGATACAGGACATTAAAGATTCACTGGTTAAGAGAGCACACAGGGCTGGAGATTTGGCTAAAGAATGACTTTTAGGCATGCTGTGAATACAGCGACATTATGTAAAGGACATGCTGATTGACTTTATAAATATTAACTGAATACTACTTGGCTTTGTCTAAAAACATGTGCTCTTTGGCAACATCCATAGGTGTTCAGATTTTCCCTCCAAATTAGCATCTTACAACTGACTGTGAATGAAGTGAGTAAGACAAAAAGTTTAACATTATTCAAAGGTGTGTTGATTTAAGATCTCAAATCTGGTTAGTTAACTGACCAATCATTGTCATCGCACACCGGACAAGTCCATAAGCGCTTAGATTCCAACATCAGTATCCTCCTCAGTATATGGTAATTGATAACAGCAGTTCTTGTTTGTTTACTATTTTTCTTACAAAAGATACACCAAGATATGAAGTGTTGTGTCAGATCAAAAGATCAAAGTTAACCCAAGGTATTAAGTTTTTAGTGAGATCAAGGGATCAAAGAAATCCTAAGGTATGAAGTGTTGTGTCAGATCAACAGATCAAAGTTAACCCAAGGTATCAAGATTTGTGTCAGCTAAAAAGATTAAAGATATCTTAAAGTATGAAGTGTTGTGTCAGATCAGAAGATCAAAGTTAACCCAAGGTATAAAGTATTGTGTCAGATAAGAGATCAAAGTTAACTCAAGGTATGAAGTTTTGTGCCAGATAAGAGATCAAAGTTAACTCATGGTATAAAGTTTTGTGTCAGATAAGAGATCAAAGTTAACTCATGGTATGAAGTTTTGTGTCAGATAAGAGATCAAAGCTAAATCATGGTATGAAATGTTATGTCAGATCAGAAGATCAAAGTTAACCCAAGGTATGAAGTGTTGTTGTGTCAGATAAGAGATCAAAGATATCTCAAGGTTATGAAGTGTGGTGTCAGATCAGAAGATCAAAGTTAACCCAGGGTATGAAGTGTTGTGTCAGATAGGAAATCAAAGATATCTCAAGGTATGAAGTGTGGTGTCAGATCGGAAGATCAAAGTTAACCCAAGGTCCAAGGGATGAAGTGTTGTGTCAGATAAGAGATCAAAGCTAACTCAGGGTATGAAATGTTGTGTCAGATCAGAAGATCAAAGTTAACCTACGGTATGAAGTGTTGTGTATGAAATGTTAAAGACCAACAGACTATGTTTGCACCATTTCATTAACTAGATGCAGGTAATGGTTTCCTGTTTGCTAGAACAACATTGTATGCTCTTTCTGTGAAACAATGCTAATAGAATGTTATTTAAAATTCAAAGTAACTGATAAAGACATTATAAAAGATATTTGTTAAACAGATAGAGAGAGAGAGAGAGAGAGAGAGAGAGAGAGAGAGAGAGGGGGGGGGGGGGGCTGGGGGAGAGAGAGAGCGAGACAGAGAGAAACAGGGAGAAACAGAGAGAGAGAGAGAGAGAAAAAGAGAGAGAAACAGAGAGACAGACAGGGAGAGAGAGAAAGAGAGACAGACAGACAGAGAGAGAGAGAAAGAGAGAGAGAGAAAAAGAGACACACAGAGAGAGAGAGAGAGAGAGAGAGAGAGAGAGAGAGAGAGAGAGAGAGAGAGAGAGAGAGAGAGAGAGAAACATTAACCCTGATGTAACATGGTTCACCTGGAAGAGAAGAAGTGTACTTCCCAAACTGATAGCAGCCATTTTTCCAAATTTGTTTGCCAGATAGCCAGTAACCCTAAAACAATTAGTGGTTAAAAAAAAGTTATTTAATTTAGCAATGAAAGCATACAATGAACTATTAGACAACCATTTGCAACAGCAATATCAGTATGATCATTATTACACCCCTAGCAGACACATGCATCTGCATTTGTCTGTTTAATGGATGTGCACCTAAAGTTCAGGTTCTGGATTAGGAGGGGTTTTTCATTCAGTACATAAGAATAACAATAATAGATATTGTGTGGACTTTAACCTACTGAGTCAGATTGTTTACATCTCCTGACCCAGTATCTGAAATAGCGCAGGGGCAATAGGTCTCAGTGACATGTTCTGTTTTGACAAATGCATAATTTTCGAATATCAGCTTTTGACATTAGCTTACACAACTATTTCTGACGGAACTGAACACCAGAATTGGAAGGGACTCAGAAGCTATGAAAGTACATCTCAGTTTTTCAAGCCCATCTAGGTCAACTCCATCCAGTTTGCACACTTATGATTGACGGAGTCTGGCCAGGATACTGTGACTGGACAGTCAGTCTCTGCCTTAAGCTGTCAGATGGTCAGGTGTAAGTGGCAGGGGTGTCAGTTTTCTCTCTAGTGTATGTGCTGGAGTGCAGATAGGTACACAGTATATTGCAGTGGCTTTTCTGAGCGACTTAGTATATAGTATTAGTGTTTGTCGGTACGTAAATGACAGCCGTCTAGGATTTTGCGTAGGAAATGAGTTTACTACAGAGGGTGCAGTTCTGTGTCTGCAGCCACAGAGCGTGTGCGGGCCACTGCAAAATGTTAAGAAGTCTGAAACCATGGCACGTAGAATCCTCTATCTCATGGGACCTAGGTTCAGTTTGTGGCGAATGGGGTTTGGGTTAGGGTCAGTAGTAGATTTTATGGGATCGTTAAAATTGCTCACTTGCTCTAATATAGAGGTTGCGTGACGGAAGAGTGAGTTCTCGATGCTCTGTGGTCGTAAATGTGTGTCATAAAATGACGGGCATTGGACACAGCCACAGTGATACCCCTCTAGGCTTGACAGAAGTCAACTGGGCTGATCAGGTAACAATGAAAACTTGTGTAGTATGTAAATGGGCGGAGATGATCTGGATGGGCCTGGAAAAGTGATAAGATCCACTCTGAAGTAACAGTATTGTGACTACAATATGTTATCAGTCATTCTGCCAACAGTCTAAACTTTGGCACTGTAACTCTGTAATTGAAGTCACAACTGTGCTGGGCTAGTATAGAATATATCTTCTACCATTTAACAATTGTATGACATTATATGTTAGGGCCATGAGGTAACTCAACACAACGCAAACTATGACATCATCATCATGGTCTGTACTGGTAAGCTTTAGCTGTAACGTTTTGCCATCTCACACAATCACCAGAGTCATGGATCAGGTCATTGTTCTTGTCTTATCATCATCACTAAGACCAAGCCATCCAGGTATTTACTGAAGTTTTCCGCACAGTAAATAGTCATGATTTCACTACTAAAAAAATTACAAGAAAGCTAAATGTAGGGAAAGGAAAATACACACAAGAATACAGTGGAACCTCACGATACAAACAATATCTGTTTCGCCACTGTGCATATGGTGAATAAGATCCTGAAACAATTTGTCCCGTTAAAACTGATTTAACTAATGTTGATTTGTTTCACTCCTCCGAAAATCACCCTATTACTTTCGAAACATTGTTTTTTATTTCGTTACCAGGAAAAAGTCGCACTCCTTTTCTTGTTTTTGGCGACAGCAGAAAAATGTGTTTTACTTCCAGCTGTGATTATACAGTCTATTATCATCAAGTCCCTTGTTAAGTGGCTGGTCATCCTCCTCCGGCAATGTCCTGAATATACAGATTGCCACCAAGAGCCCCACTGAAGAAATATAATGGACACTGAGCAAGGGCAAGACTACTTAGAAGTGGTAACAATGGTATCAAGAACAGTTTTGAAGAAATAAACGCCAACTAATTCTTATCTGTCAAATGACAAAACCATCTTATCTGTCGCTCCTTAGTAAACTATAATGCTGGTGTCAGTCTTGTTGTTCATCCATCACAAGTGATGAGGACCACTCTTTCAGGAAGCTACAGTTGACTGCTTGTCAGTCCGGAGAAAACTTATAAGCCCAATATGAGCCCAGAAGGATCTAGGACAATGACAGCAGGGAACTGTGTCTGTAGGTAAAGGGTCTATTGTACCAACCTAGCCAACAAGCACTGTTCATCTGCCCCTTTTCTTGAGCCTCACAGTTCACTGACCCTCTTCGGATAGACATTTGCCATGCAGCTTGGTTTTGTGCAACAGCCTCCCAAGAGTCAGGGTCTATATTAAAGGCTTTAAGAATGCCCTTGAAGCAGATTTTCTTACCACAGTGAGAGCGTCTACCTTCCTATCTCTCACCATACAAGACTATTGTTGGGAGCTGGTCTGGCGAGCGATCAACGTGATTTGCCCTTCAAATCTGTGACTGCATCAGTCCTATACCTTAAGCTTCTCCCCCCCCCCCCCCCCCCCCCCCACTTTCCAATGCTTTCTTTGGGTTGGCACTGCTGCTGTCAACAACTGAAGAGACTGATGTCTGGTAATATAACAAAATCAATGACTACCCCCTTACTTACCATCCAGTGGCACCACCTATTGCAAGCTGTTTGCAAGCTGAAGCTTTGGTGATGTCACCAAAAATCCTTTCTGCAAATTCATCTAAGGAAGTTTTTGGCACGGCATCTATGATAATGTAATCACTGAGCTCTGTGCCTAACGAGTCCGCGTCGTCAGAAGTAGACCGCTCCTCTCGACGCTTCCCCATGGATTGTGATCCTGATTCTTCTGAACTGCTGGATTTCTCAGTATCGGAGACCTCAGTAACTATTAACCTTGGTTTCAGGACGGGTTTCAACTTGAGTGTGGTGTCTAAAGTGTCTTGATCCGGATCTGCCGTTGTTAACAGAGACTTCAGAGACAGTAGTTGCTATTATATTTATTAAAATGTCACGTATCTACACAGTCAGTATCTTTCGTTGAGGAAAATCAACCAATCAATACTACAATTTTTATTTTTTTTTAAACTAACCTAATCAACATCAGTAAAAATAAGGGAGACGTAATAATAGAACTGTGTAAGTAAGTGTTGTGTAACAAAAAAAAAGGTCACTCGTCAATTATAATAATTATTAAACGATTTATGAATTAATTTATAGCTGCAAACAGTTTTATTCAGGGTCTGTAGATAGAAATAGGCATATATTACTGTAAATTGAATAAGTAAACTATCACAAGATGAGAAATCTATTCCATAATCAATTAAATATCTTCATCCGATTCAACACCTTCAAGTTTTGGGAAGTGACGTCACAGTTGTAATTGTACGGCTTTTTGTTTCTGCTTCAGAAGATCGCCAATCAGCCGGGAGAGAATTTAATGACGGTATCAAAACGTCATATGTACAAAATGACTGGTTTCACATCTATCTTAGACCATTTCCAAAACCAGGCAGAGATCCATCGCGACTCAGCAGTCATAGAATCATAACTCTCCAAAATGTATATGGCAAACTGCTAGAAAAAAAAAAAAAACTGGCAAAGAAAGCGATGTGACACAAAGAATGGGTATACAACTGGACACCATGGGCAGCTATAGGCCCTCAAATGCAGCACGGGACAATGCTGGAACATTCGCATATGATGTGTATGAAGGATTTCAGCAAAAGCAAAAAAAAAAAAAAATAGTCATTGTCGCGATAGATCTTGAAGATGCATATAAGAGCGTTGACTTCACATATCTTATGCAGTGCATGGTGGACTGTGGAGTGAACACTTGGTTAGCTAAATCGATTTGGGCAGCACTGTTGGAAAAAACAGTGTAATTTTGTATGAAAACATGGAGATGAGATCCAATACCTTTTGCCCAGGCCTTACCCAGGCATCACCATTGTCACCTGTCTTGTTTAACATGTATACAGCAAGTCTGGACAAAAGTCTGCCAACTGGACAAAGCGAACTTTGACATTTGCAGATAATGTCCTAATGTATTGAAGGGGGTCAGACAGGCACGACATGACCAGAGACTTGCAAAGTAATTTGCATGAGATGACGGAGAGGTGTGAACAGACAGGGTCAAGGGTAAACACAGAGAAGGCCAGTGTTTTGTGGTGCTTTTTGAATAGTAGCATTGGGAAGGAAGACTTGCCAAACATATCCATCAAGGCTATTTATGTTGCAAGAAGAGATACTTTGAAATATTTAAGCTTGACGTTTGATCACAGTCTGTTCTGCATATATCAAGTGGAGCAGACTGTGACCAAGTGCAAGCGTGGATAGCGGCGCTGAAGACGATGGTGTGGAAACAAATGGAACAGACATTATTGGTTTTATTGTTTAACAAATTGTTCCTTTCTTAAATCGATTATTGCCTAGGAAAATTAACCCTATTCCTTTCACAGTGTACAAAGCTTGAAAAGATTAAAAATGAAGGAATGAGAATCTTCTTGGGTTGCACACGAGACACCCCAGTTAGAACAATAAGGTATATGCTTGGGCTGACATCGGTAAAGTATAGACTGTCACTGGCGCAAGCCAAGTCTTACATGCGAGTTACTAATGACGAAATGCATCACACGCATGGTAATTTGAAGGATTTAAGAAAAGACCGGTTGAAAAGAGGAAAGTCATGGATGGCACGAGCTGAAGATACCCTCGACGGCGGCCTCAGTCAAGCAAATACATAGGGGGCAGGAATGGGTCGACACGAATATCCAAAAACAGCAGTTTCCATCAGGTCATTATCAGGTCAGGAAGAGAAAGTAGAGAGTGGTGTAATGGTATGCCAAAATTAAAGGTACAACAACTGATAGATGGAAAGGCTGGACTAAATGATGCAGAGGTGTACACCGATGGTTCTGTACATATGGGGTGTAAGATCTCGCTTGAGATTTTCAGCTAGAATGAAGGGGAAAATTGTGGCAAAACAAAACAAAACTATTTTATCTACAACTTCAAACATGAGAATGACGTCTGAAGTGTATAGCAGAAAACCAAATTACCAGAGGAATTATTGTGTTTAGTTCTCAGTCGGCATTGCTGAAGGTTCGAAGTGGATTATTGTGGCATGAGTAGATACCTTGCATTAGAACGCCAACGTTGCAGGAAATCATGTGGGTATACTTTCCAGGATATACAGGAGTGCAAGGGAATGAAAGAGCGGATTTTCTGGTTTTAAAAGCGGAAGCTACGGGAACACTCGTACTGGACAAGGGAGATATTCTGAAGACTATGTATGAACGACTTTTGGTAGAAGACACAATATTAGATGAAATAACATGATCAGGAATGTGTGAAAGAGGAATTAAGTGTTGATTCGGCAAGGAGGGACGGATGAGAGGAAGAGATCGGTGTGTGTATAATCAGTGTGCTACAGTGTCACAGACCTCTGAGTGACCTTGATGGTCCATGGCTCGTAACTGGGTCTATAACAGACAAACTAGCCTTTAACACACACTGAACCAGAACGCACATAGGGCACACATGACACTCTAGGTAATACAACATACAATTGACTTCGCGCTGTGTGGCCACCTATTGCCTGGACCCTCTGGCCGAACGAGCTTTACAGTCTGTTCCACAGGCAATCTCTGGTGCACAAACCACAGCTAGGCGGATGCGCTCTTTCCTATCGACACACTGACCTACCAAGATGTCACAGCCTCTGTCTAGTGCAGAGTCTGCGTGACAAGGTTAGACATTCTCTCACAGAACGTGTACCTAACTGATTTAACTGGTCAGAAATAAATTTACACTACTTCCTTATTGTGAAAAAATACAATACGTTACTTTGTGTTCTTTCACCTCGTGTCTTTTGACTCGTTCACCTGCCCAGTCCCCCATGGGACAATCATGTTGCGAACTTGTCTGTAACAGAGTTAACTCTAACTTGTCTTCAAGTGGTCTCTACTGAGCGATAGTTTCACCGTGCAAACAGCACAGACTTGGCCAGTCACGCCACTGACCTTTGTGTCAACCCTGGGGTGTCACCTGAACACGGTCCACCCTATTGTTTAGTTCATTCCGTCACATGACTGTACTCTGGGTTGTGACATACAGGAACAGTTAGCGTCTACACCTTATGTCATTTGCTGCGAGAGATAGATCATCTATGGGTATGCCCGGAGTGCTATGATCTCGATTCTCAAATCAGTAATCAACCAGGCGGCATCTCCACAAAGAACGTTTCCAGCAAAGGCTCTCCGACACTTTGTCTCTTACCCTGACTGTACACTTATTCGTACGGCTGTTCCTCTATCTTTGGCAATATACTCTCACCTGTATTGCTGTCTACCTCTCAACTCTTCCTTTCAGATTGTTTTGACCTTTATTTTAATCATCAAATTTCTTGCCGACTGGTGGTAAAGGCGATAAAGCTTCTGCAAAATCTGCGATCCACAACTTCGTGTATCGGTTCGTGTGTTGCCACTCCTCCATGCCATGACAAACGGTCTTCCTCTGTCTCTCTTTTCACAGATTTTTAAAATGGTCACAACATGTCACAATTTCCCTCTTCACATAACATGACCATAAGAATGAGGACTGTCTCTTTCTGATGTTTGTGATGACTTGTCTACGACAATCCGCCTCTTTCAAAACACCTGGTTGCTCTTTTTAGCTGCCCAAAGAATTATAAAGATTCTTCTGTAAAACCACACCTTCGAAGCTTCAAGATATTGTTCAACATGTTTATTGATTTCCAGCATTCACAGCCGTTATGTTAAAACGGTCTGAATATAGCATGCGAGATTTATTTTCCCAACAAACATTGATATGGATTTATTGCACAAAATATTATTCACTTTAAAAACAAAAATGCAGTTTTGGCCTGTTTTATTCTGTTCTTTACCTCTGTGATATATATTCCATCGGATGTTATCCATGTGCCTAGTTACTGTAGGCTGTAGGCTACTTGGCTGTCTAGGTACACAGTAAAGAGAAAATAAAAGGTGTTGCAGATCGGTCGCAACTAACATCAATTACAGACGGCACTAGGAAGGTAACACCATATGGATAGACAGCTGTATGAGATTATAAACTTCACTGCACCAGGTGTTATCTCATGTGGTTCAGTCTCTCTTCACAGAACGGCTAGTCATCTGCCGAGGGCATCAGGCAGACCAAGAACTACATGGTAGTAGTAGAAGTAAAATTTACCCCACCAGGACACCACACAAGCGATAATCACCCGATGACACAAAGTGCCACCATGTGGATGAGGATCACCTGTGGAGAGGTCCCGGAAACCACGTTCAGGCATTAGGCCATCTTTATGGCCAGGCTATATTAAGGCTTCAAAATAACGAAAAATTGTACAATAAACTCCATGGCTCCAGTTTCCCCACTTAACTCCTGAAACCCCGTTATTAGTAAGGGTCTAACATAGTTTAAATCCGACACTGGACCAGGGTGCATAATACACGAACTGTTCATTTATTCACTTTGAAATCTTCCCCATCTTTTGATGTGTTCCAACAATCGAAGGTTGTCGATGTCTACCACTGCATTTATTACATGAATGATTCACAAATCTTTGGACCAAGTCTTCGGGTAGGGAAACATTGTTTGCTGCTTCATGTGACATTTGAAATCCTGTATGTAAGGGAAGAATTCACCCCCACCATCTCTTCTTCCCACCACCAACGGATTCGAGCAGGTGTTTCGGATTAGAAGAGCCGCTTTGACCTACATATACAAAATGAAACTGTCACCAAGAACCCTTATCATGGTTTTTGCAAACGCTTTTCAAACCATTCTTGTTTATTATTAG